GATGAGACAATTAAAACTATTCATCTTTTTAATTTATTTTTTTAAATATATAATTATTTATATATAACTAAATTTTGTTTCAAATATATTTTAAATTATGAAATAAATATGATTATCTATCTATATTTCTATATTATTAATAAAAATGAATGAATAATAAAAAATTTATAAGAAATATTTCATATTGGAAATTTGCATTATTAAGTGTCTAATAGGCATTTGCCCACACTGCCCCTCAGTTTAATTAGTATATTTAATAGAAATTCGAAATTTTTTAGTATAAAAATTGAAAATATCCTGTTAATGGTAAGCTAGCAATAAAATTTTAACCATAATCCGTAATTTCATAAAGCGCCATCTATTTTTTTAATTTTTGGCAAAAATGTATATTTTGGAAGATTTGATAGCGTCGCCAAGGTTTTGACATCTTATATAATATATATTTATAAAAGGTGTCAAAAAAAACAAAAAAAATTTCGAAAACAAACTCCCTTTTTTCTTAAAAATACAGGTAAAGCAATATAGGTAAACCGAAAGTTAAAGATAAATTGGCGTTGATTTTTATTTTTTTTGATAGCCCTTGAGAGATTTTTTTTACCTATAATATGATATATTATATTTTTTTACTATAAATAGCAGAGACCTCCAGGCCCGGCCCTAAGACCGGCCGTATTTTAAATTTTTTAAATATACCCGGACCGGGCCGGGCCTAAAAAATTTTTTTAAATATATCCGGGCCGGGCCTAAAAAAATTTTTTTTAAATATATCCGGGCCGGGCCTAAGATTGTTAAACCCGGGCCGGGCCGGGCCTAAGATTGTTAAACCCGGGCCGGGCCGGGCCTTAATATTTTTTATAAAAATTTTTACATTATGAGTTAATGGTTATAAGATTATATTATATTATAGTTATGATTAATATAATATTGGGTGATGGTTAACACACCTAACACCCACAGATCGATCTAATTATTAATTTCCTGCAAATTTATTCAAAGTATTAATATATTTTTTTATAATTCATATCTAAATTTTTACAACATATATTACCAAAACAATTAAATAAAGGAATATCTAAAATAAGCCTCAATATTCAAGTATTAATAATATATTTTTTATAATTCATATCTAAATTTTTAGAATATTTACCAAAACAATCAAATAAAGGAATATCATGGCACAAAATACTAATGATATAATTAATAAAATTAAAAATAATATTTATTCTTTTAGAAATACAAATAATAATTTAAAATCTGAAATATGGGCTAAATTTAACATCATCATAGATGAAAATAAAAAAAACATTGGCTTCGTACAATGTAAGAATTGTTCAAGTATATTATCTTATAATTATAAACATGGTACATCACATCTAAAAAGACATAAATGTGATGGTAAATCCATGAAAATTAATAATTTTTTTTTACACCTGAAAAACCAACCTATAAATGTAATATAAAATATTTAAAAATTATAAAATAAATTATATTAATATTGTGCAATTAGATTATATTTTCAAAATACTATTTATTATACATGCATTTTTTTAAATAGCGATTTATTTTTATTTTATAAATTAAATAGTAAATTAAATACAATATATTATATTCTCAAAATATTTTCCATTTTTATAAATTCTATATTAGTTTTATTTTTTTTAAATGCAATATAAAATATAGTATATGCTCAAAATATTATTACCATTTTTATGAATATTAGTTTTATTTTTATAAATGCAAAAAATATAGTATATGCTCAAAATATCCATTTTTATAAATAACAGTTTTATAATTTTAATAAATTCAATATAATATTCTCAAAATATTAGCTTTTTTCATGTATTTTTTAAATAATAAGCGATAATACTCGCTGAAAAATATGGTAAAACACCTCATAGGTGAATTTTTGTATATACCAGATCGAATATAATTTTAAAAAATTCCGAGCCGGGCCTGAAACTTTTTTTTAAAAATATATCCGGGCCGGGCCTTAAATTTTTAAATCCGGGCCGGGCCGTAAAAAATTTTCTTAAATCTTTAAATCCGGGCCAGGCCGGGCCGGGCCGTAAAAAATTTTTTAAAAAATATCCGGGCAGGGCCGGGCCTAAAAAATTTAAAACCGGGCCGGGCTGTGCAAATGGTGCCTCTGCAGGTCTCTGATAAATAGTTTTTGAGATATAAGCATTTTAAAAATTTCAGATGCCAAAGTGGTCTTTTTTGTACCTAATCCTGGCTACGCCACTGAATAGACCTCTCTTTATAAATTCAAATCAAAAGTAATGATTATATTAGTTTTAATATATAATATTTAAAATCAAATTAAAATGAATTTTTAGTTATAACATTTATATAATTTTTGTATTACTTAAAATATGCAATTAATACTATTCTTAATCAAAGTACTGTGTATTATTTATATTTTGATAATATCATCATATTTTTTAAATACTATTATTTGCATAAAAATTACTTATATTTTATGTAATTGTTAAATTACATTTTTTTTAAAATAGAGTTTTTATACAATAAAATTTTTAATATTATAATCTGTATAAAATATCTACATTTTGAAATTTATTTTAAATAATAAAAATTAATACATTATTAAATAAAAAAATGTTATTTATGCTAAAGTATTTTCATATAATAAATAAAATCTATAATGAAATACTCTCTAAAAATTTGTTAATATTTAACAACCTGAAATATAAGCAATTAAGTGTTTATAAAAAATAAGAGGTTTGGGGGGCTTGGGAGCCCAAAAAAGTTTTGAAACCTCCCCCCCCCCTTCCCCAATGAGAAAATCCTGGCTACCACTGAATTTTGTATTAATTATAATTGTTAAATATTTTATTTTTTTAAATACCAATATGTGCATCAAGAATTACTTATATTTTATTGTAATCAACTTTTTTTTAAAATACAGTTTTTACAATAAATTTTTAATATAATAATCTGTATAAAATTTATATATTTTGAAATTTATTTTATTGTATATTATCATTAATAAAATAAATACAGAGTTAAATAAAGGGATGTTATTTATATTAGAGTATTTTAATAATAAATAAAATTTATAATGAAATTCTCTGTAAAATTTTGTTATATGCAAAAATTTAATTAAAATAAGTATTTTTAACATAGAATAAGATATATTGAGCAATCATAAAATATGGGAGGTTTGGGGGGTGGTGAATTTTTTTCTTTCAACACTGAATGGATTGAATCAATTTACAATTGAACACTAAACATTGATAAAATTTTCAGAATAATGCTTTCAGTCACCTATTAATCATAAATTTGACCAAAATATTGTTATTAATATTTTTCCATTTATGCTGGCCAAAAGTGGTTAGACACTAATAAAGTACAAAATATTGGTCTAGAATTAGTATCTCCAATTGTTCAGCCAACTTTAACAAAGATGATAGTATTTTTGACCCTACCGAAGTCTGGATGAAAAGAAGTATGTGGGCAAAGCCCCCCAAAAAATTATTTAACCCCCTCCCCCCATAGATAAATCCTGGGTATGCCACTGATTCCTCCTTAATTCTCTATTCTATAAAATAATTTATGAAATTACTTCTATTCAAAAAAGTGAATGAAAAAAATCTTAAAAATCAAATAAACCACACTAGACACATTTCATTTTATAATCAAATTTTCACATAAAAAAATTGGTTATAAATTGTATATAAAAAAATTTAAAACAGGACACTTTTCAAGGATGCTATAATTTGTGTGTATTTTAATAAACAATTGCTCAACCTTTGATTAAAATAGGAATTATTATATTGTTTTTCAATTTCATTTTAACCAATCTATCTTATTTTGTACACATTTTCTAAAGATGCCACAAGTCCGTTTGACTAATTTTTTCACGTTAACACTACAAAATTAAAGAGTATCAAAACTATAGCTAGAATCAAAATTATTACCAGATATTGAGTCTCATATTTTGAAATATGATAAAAAGTTGACTTTTTATATTGATGATACCATATATTTTTTAAAATGTATTTCGTTTTTATTATAATTGCTTTAAGGCTTCTAGATTCTTTGTTCATTATGAAGCTTGATATGAATTTTAGTATTTTGCTACTAACTTTTGTATTCTTACTAGTGATCTACATCGGACATAATTTTTCAAGTTAGAGCTTATAAAAGTTTAACTTTTTGTGTAGAACTGCATCATAAAATGAGTCAGATTCTTTTCAAATTTTTGAAAATATAAATTGATTTAAAATATAATGATATAAACTATTTTATTTCTATTAAATAACCCAAATAGATCAAATCAAAATTATTTTGAAATGAAAAATAAACCTAAATATATTTAGACATAATTGATTATTAATCTCAATTTAAATTCTATAAACTAATATTTATCCAAGGCATGTTATTTTTATTTTGTTTGAATAACTAGTTATTGTTTATTAACTGGAAAAACTGATTGATGAATTAGTAAGTACTAATCATGCATTAAATATTGGCTTACACAGATATTCAGTGCTCCTAGAATTTTATTAGTGTAATGTCAATATTTTTTGTCATTAACACATTTTTCTTTAAACCGTCTATTGATTTTGTATAATCTAAGAATTAGTGTTTCTAAAATAGTTCACTTTATGCAAAAAGTGTGGTTCATAGTTTTCTATTTGTTTGTAACTTTTGTCAATCGCAAAATTGATTGAAAATTAATAAGTACTAGTCAGGCACTTTCATATACCCCCCCCCCACAGATAAATCCTGCCTATTATACTGATTTTAATCAAATAAGAATTGAATAATTCAAATATTTGTTTTTAGTCATAGATCTCCCAAAGTCCTGGGCATTTAAAAAACCAAGCCAAGTGTAGAATTTAAAAAACAGCCAAGTGCAGATTTAAAAAACCTTGTAACCAGGCCAGGTCTCTGATATAAATACTAGTTCAAGGATATAAAGAATACTTAAATTATATTACAATCAGAATTCTTACAAAAATAATATAAATGATTACATAGTCGTTCAAAGTCTTGGAATGTACAATACAATTTGACAAAAAATGGATGTGGATTTGCATTTAAAGCTTGTAGAAGTTCTTTTTCTTTTTTAACGCAGGATTGTTTATGGAGTTTTATAATATGTCTTTTATCCATAACTTTAACTAAGCAGAGAATGAATTAATAATATTGTGAAAATCAAATACTTGCATAATATTTTAAGGTATGAATATCTCTAGATTTATAAACCTATATTTTAAAAATTAATATATAAAATTATTATTTTTTACTGTTGAAAATGACCCTTCACCTATGATTTTAAAAAAAAAGAAGTCATTGGCAGTTCGATGCAGAATTTGTCCAGGCTTAGGCCTTGGTAATTCCTTATTATTGGATATTAAATTTTCTTTTACATATGGATCTTCAAAAGTACATTTTTTGCCATGCTCATCTTCATTGGTTAATATAGATGAATCTATTTTGTTGTTATTTACAGGTTGTAAGGTGTCGATATTAAAATTATTTATATTTTGGTCAGAAGATGGCAGAATCTTATTTGAATTATAAGTTAAAATAGACATTAATGCATTGTTAAATGCTCAAATAAAAATTCTAAAAAAATATGAATGTATGTAACATTGGGAAATACTTCATGATGTTGTCGAAGAAATAACTGTTAGCGCAATTTATAATTATAACATGAATTTTCTTATCTTATATACATTTGAATCATGGTCAGTACATAGATAGTTACATCTAAAGAAAGGTTTTAGTACTTGTGGAACTCTAATTATGGACATATATAGAACTGTAATGATCTTGCATTTGTGAATCCCTTAGTTACACCTAAAGAAAGGTTTTGGTGCCTGTGGAACCCTAATTATGGACATGTTTTTAGAACTGTAATGATATTGCATCTATAAATCCCTTTTAAGGAAGTAGCATTTATTAACTATAATGTAGATAAATACATCTTTTTTTTACACATTTACCTTTAAACTGGAATAGTTACATTTGATCTATTTTAACTTTGTTGTGTATATCAGATAGATCTAAAAGACCACACAATTTGGTGTAATAAATTAATAAATGATTATTTATGTATATTGTATATTAAAAATAGAATCGAACATTCGAAAAACAATCAATAAAAATTTCATATCAAAAATAAATTGAAATATAAATTAGTAGTCGTATTGTTTATAATTAGTAGTTGGGATTACTACAAATGGCGACGATAAATGGAGAAAATAATTCCTTAAATGGAGATAATAATTCCTTAAATGGAGAAAATAATTCCTTAAATGGAGATTCAAAAAAAATAGCGGATTTATCTACGATTAAATTTGATAAATTCGAGTTGGATACTTCTATTCACAGATATTTTTTTCAATGGGAAGCCAGTTTTCGGTTAAAAAACGTAAGCCCATCTGAATGTCAATATAAAGATATATTTTTAACATTTTTTGGCAATAAGAATATTGAGTTGGTGGACCGTTTATGTTATCCTGATTCGATCGAAACTTTATCTTTTAAGGAAATTAAGTCAATATGTTTTAAACTATTTAAACCGACGTCAACAGCTTTTGCTTCTAGATTTGATTTCGTTAGATTACGGAGAACAACTGAAACCATATCTGAATTTGCAAATAAAATTAGAACAATTGGAAAGCGTTGTCATTATCTTAATGATATTGACGAGCGTTTACGTGATCAGTTTATGGTTGGCATGGAAATACCGGGATTGGAAAGAGATCTTAGAGCTCTATATCCCGACGGTCTTGATAGAGATAATAATGTACTGACTTTTCAATTTATTCTTGATCTGGCATTAGCTTCTGAGCGAGCAGATAAAGAAATGGCAAATAAAAATATGCCAGTTGTTAATAAGATAAATGTTAATAACAAAAGAAATGATAATGATAATAATTATAAACATCCAATAAAAACGACGACTACAATTGATAAAGGCTATAATAAAGTCAAGTATAATAATACATTTGATAAAGAGAATAATAACTACAATAATAATAATGATAAAGATTATAATAAACTTAAATGTTATAAATGTGGTTTTATTCATAACCGAGAAGTGAGATGTCCAGCTACAAATGCGGCATGTAATAAATGTAAAAAAATTGGTCATTTTGCAGTTTGCTGTAAATCAAAGAATTTAAACTATATAAGAGTGTCATCAAGTGATTCTATTCATAATATTTGGAAGATTCAACAAAATCGAGAGAATCGAGCAAAACTAACTGCAGAGATAAATGGGTTAGATGTTGAATTTGATTTTGACACTGGTGCACAAGCGTCATTGATAGGAATTGATATATGGACAAGTATTGGGGGACCAAAAATTAGGCCAACCAGTCTATTGACTGCATATGGTGATCATCCGTTAGACGTCAAGGGCGAGACCCAAGTCAATGTTAGGATTGGATCACAGACAAGGACTCTACCAGTGGTAATAATGAATACAACTGGGGTGCCTCTTTTCGGATTACCATGGATTATAGCATTCAATTTAGAAATGCCTCGTCAGGTTATGATTAAACAAGTACGCAATTTGGTCAACAATATTGAAAAAGAAAAATGTTGCATAACACTAGATTCTAGAATTCGAGATTTGATTAATAAACACCAAGAAATTTCGGAAGAGAATCAAGATTCTAAACATGTTTTGGATATTCGAAGTATTAATTTAGATGATATGCAATTGTCAGAAAATATTCTACGAAAAGAGTCGAAGCAAGATTTAATATTAAAAAAAGTAGCAATACATATTCAGCAAAGTTGGCGAAACTTTGATCGTCATAAAGATAAAGAAATAGTTAATTTTTATAATCGACGGGAAGAGCTTTCTGTCAATCGTGATATTATAGAATGGAATGGGAGATTGGTTATTCCTAATAAATTAAGAAATGCAGTGTTAGGAATGATTCACTGGGGACATCCTGGGGAAAATGTAATGAAATCTATTTTTAGATTGTATTGTTGGTGGCCCAGATGTGATGTTGATATAGAAAATTTTATCAAAATATGTTCTGGATGCCAGAAAAATAGACCATGGTTAGAAGTTGATCTAATGCAGAATACCTCTGCTGATGCTATGATAAAACGACTAAATAAATGGTTTGCTAGGTTTGGAATACCCAAGTACAGTGTGTCAGACAAAGGACCACAATTCTTATCAGGGGAATTTCGTAGGTATTGTGATTTAAATAACATACGTCATATACGTTCGGCACCCTATCATCCAAAAACTAATGGATTAGCTGAACGTACAGTACGAACTTTGAAAGGTCGGTATTATGCAACGAGAGATTCAATTAGCGATCCCAAAGAAGCTATGACACAGGTTTTAACAACCTACCGATTGGGAGAGCATAGTTCCACAGGGAGATCTCCTGCTAAAATTATGTTTGGGAGGCAATTGAAAACAAGTCTGGATTGGATCCGACCAAATGCCGAACACGAAATAGTAAGGGCTAATGATAAACAAAGCCTTCATCATGATTTACATTCAAAGGAAAGAGAATTTGAAATCTCACAACCTATATGGTTAAATAATGAAAATACCAATGGTTGGAGAGAGGGAGTAATTAAAGAAAGAATAGGACTTTATTCTTATATTGTTGAATCTTCCGGGAAAACATTACGGAAGCATGCAGATCAGTTAAGAAATCGTTTAGTTATCCCAAATCATGAAAGTTCTTTGGAAGTTACAGAAATGGTTGTGCCAGTGAATGAAGCAAATACAAACACAAATACAAATACCACATTACGTTGCTCATCAAGAAACCATAAACCTACAAATAGGTTTATTGAAGAAATCTAACTTTAAATTGTTTGAAGGAAATGTAATAAATTAATAAATGATTATTTATGTATATTGTATATTAAAAATAGAATCGAACATTCGAAAAACAATCAATAAAAATTTCATATCAAAAATAAATTGAAATATAAATTAGTAGTCGTATTGTTTATAATTAGTAGTTGGGATTACTACATTTGGTTATTGAACATTTCATTCCACTCTTGATTGTATATATCTACATTATTTTGTAGTTTATAAGTTTACACAATTAGATACATAGAATATCTTTATTCTTTATAAAGATTAAAAGACATGAAATTTTATATTGAAAATTTTTTATTCCACTCAGTAAGTATAAAATAACCATACAATTAGATTTATTATAATATTCTACACTTCCTTTTGCAATTATAAGTTTACTTACACATATACCTTCTAAACTGGAATAGTTACATTTGATCTATTTTAAATTGTTGAGTAATATCAGATCCAAAGTTAAGTGAAGGGTCACACATTTAGATATATTGAATTCCTTTTTATTGTAAATATAAGAACCAAAAGATCACACAATTAGGTTATTGAATAATTCATTCCACTCTTGATGGAATATATCTACATCCTTTTGCAATTTATGAGAGCAAAGGATCATCTAATTTTATACTAAATATTTTTATCCCACTCAATTCCCTTTAAAGCTGAAATTGTTACATTAAATTGAACATAGACTCTGATTACTGTATTGTATGGGTTGAATCATTAATAAAAAAATAACACTATATCTTCTGTTCAGGCAAATTTTTTATTTTAATCATATTTATTTACAGATTCTATGAACATTAAATCTCAATAGTGATAGTAATCATCAAAACTTACATTAAAGAATTTAAACTTAAAACAGCCATCACCCACCTTTAAAGTAATTAAATTATACTGTAGTTCTAGGGTATAGGCTCTTTTTTACCCCATTCCTTTTTACTAAGCCTATAGAGGTTTAAGCAACTTTTTTCGAAATGTTGCGCCTACAAGTACGTGCGGCTTGCCCATAAAGGTGTGAAGGGCTCCTCATTTTTCTTTCCCTAATTAACTATCCAGTTTGATGGATTTTGAGGAAAACCTAGCGTAGCTCTGTTGTACCCACAACCAGAGGGCGAAAACGCTTTTATCACGTATCACGTATTTGTCCTTGATATATAGATTTAATAAGCAATTTCTGTTAAATCCATTTTAGAGGAATCAAATATTGAACTTTTCGGAAAATAGGATTTCATTAGAAATCCAGTATCATATTTTTAAAAAGGATATTTATATCAATTACAATTTTTTTTTTAATGGATAACAAATATTTTTGATAATATGCAAATTTATTAGAAATTTTTTTAATTCCTTATCAATGTCCAATGCTATATAAACTATTATAAAAATTAAAATCTTAACTTGCTTTATGGGAGGTGTAGGTGGGATGTAGGATACACCCCCCCCCCTCCCTGCGATTAGCAAGTCTTTGTTAATATAATCTTAAAAAATAAACCTAATTCCCTCCAAACTCCCTATCTCTTTCTCTTTTCGTAAAATAAATATAATATCAATAAAAATAAATTATAAAATAAAATAAAATATTTAATTTTCAGAAAAAGAATTCTAATTAAAAAAATTATATCAATATTTAAAAAAATTTACAACTCTACAGGCCTGCAATTAATATGTCTCAAGTCATTTATTAAAATTTACGACACGTTTAAATTAAACACCTGTCGTGTTTGTTATCAAATCAAGATCATAAAAGTAGAAAAAAAAAATCACTAAATATTGATTTCATTAAATATTCAAAATCTTTTTTAGAAATCAGGCTCGAAATCTACAAAAAATGGAGCCATTTATCATTACTATTTGCTGGTTTTTTAGATTTCTATAGGTGCTCTAAAGATTTTTGAATTCTTTTTATACTTATAATATTAATGGATCAATCTATTTTGCAGTCACATACTTTAAGGCCGACAAAATTCGAAGACTTAATATTAATAATAAAATAGCATTGTAGGGTGATTCATTAACTCCCCCTATCACATATCTCTGAGTTAAGACATCACTATGATAGATTAACTCTCCCTTTGATAAATAGAAGGAGGGAGTTGATTAATAACAAAGATCTTAATTACAATGTAAATTGATAGGGAGAGTTATATGATTATGCAGTTTTTTTTTATATTACTGAAATTCTTGTAAATTTAATTTGATATTAAATTTGATTTACGAATTTAAATTCTGAATCGAATTTTAATTTTATTTATCTAATAGTTTCATCCGAATTCAAAATTTAAATTCTAAAAGTAAAATATTTATTTATTAATATAGTATAAAAATTATAAAATAGTGAATCTCGATGTTATCAATTATATTTATAGTTACATTAGATGTAAAACCTACCCAACCTCCTATATTGGCGATCATGAGTTAACAAGAAACCTTAAAGTCAAATGTGCCAAGTTTTTCTTAGAGAATGATAAATTATACCATCACCTATATAATGCTGAAGTTGTCTCACTCTTTAGCCAACAACAAAAACTTTTAGTCTCATTCCATGGAGGATGTGAGACAAATCTCACAGAAATGTCATTATCAGGACACTTTGAAATCAACAAGACATATGATCAAGGGCATCGCTAGCCTTTACAATCTCAGGGGGCTCAACTAAAAAAAATTTTTTAGGAGCTTCGCCCCCCATACACCCCATTGCGGGCCTTCGACCCGTTTTGCCCGGCCTTCGGCCGGGTAATTATACTTTTTTAAAATTTGCTAAATCTGAATAATTATTCTGAATTTCATATTTTGTCATTTATTATATTATGCCTACAAAATAAACTAGCATAAAAATAATTAAAACAATATAAGACATTTCTAAAAATATTATTTTTTAATAAAAAATCTATTTATTACAGTATAAAATATTTTCGATTGCTGATATAAATTTTGCGTCTAAAGAATTACAAGTGATAAAAAAGGTTAATTAATTCATAAATATATCTCATTTAATAATGGTTTTTAAAAACAATATATTATGGAAGCTAGATAAGTAATTGAGAAAAAAATTGTGAGATTAAAAGATTATCTTCCATTTTTAATGATATATTAACAACTAAACAGTTGACCTATATTGCTTATAAAATATGCAATCGTATGCTCTCAGCAGCTGTAATAATAATCTTAAATTACATAGCCACACAAATAATAGATGATGGTTAATTTGCAGTAATAGCCATGACACTTACTATATTAACTTATATCAGAATTTATTATGCTAGATAAATTGATAAAACAAAAACACTAAAAATCTTTAGAAGAAATTATGCAAATGTAATAAAGCCTTAAGTTATTTACAAGCCAGGGATGCCATATTAGAAATGAAACATTTTGTAACTATAAAATAAGAACTAGAGTGATATGATATGATAAAAGAAATTAATTAAGATTTTGTATATTATTGTGGCACCACCTCTAATTGGTATATTATATCCTAAAATAGTAGTAGTTTGTAATAATATCAAAAATATACTAGTATTAAAAATTTAACTCAAAACTGTTTTTCAAATAAGAAAAAAAATAGCTTTCCCAAAAACACGTAAAAAAGGGAAGAAAAGTTATCTAATTTATTACATCCATTCTGGGATAAATAATAAGATGTTAAATTTTTAAAAATATTTCTAAATATTTAGATGGCGTTAAATATTTAAAAACAATTTATTACTTATATTTATTATCAAAAGCATTTATTAGTAAAATTTATTAAAATATTAATTATAATATATTATATAATTGTCAAATACGTCTGTAAAAGTGGTATTTAACCTAATCTTTTATAACCAATTATATCTAATAAAGTATTATAAACTAGATGTTTACTTACTTTTTATAAATAAAACTCTTACTTATTTGGATTTGAACCTTGAAAATAATCTTAAGAAGAGGCATGGTAGTTAAATTTAAATATCAATAATATAGTTGATTAGTGATTTTGAATTCGGCTAATTACAATATTAAATTTGTTAATTTTCAATTAATATTTATTTAATTATAATTATACTAGCTGATAGCCCGTCAAAAATGACGGGGAATCAGAATTTTATCCTTTATTCAATGATAAAATAATAAATCTTACCTTTATTTAACAATGGATGAAGAGGTGTGATTTAGAAATTTATATTTTTTAGATGAAGGGATATTCTAAAATTCATTATTTATATGAAGTATATGGTTAGTAATTTTCATTTATGTGCACAATAAAAAATCTTTAAATATTTCTTATTCATTTGTATTTGTAATTTATAATCTGAAAAATATATTTTTGCTAGATGAGAGCATAACTTATCTTCAAGTAACATTTGAAACAGATATTAAAAATGGACAAAAAAATTAAATAAATTCAATGATAATTTATTGAATGTATAGATATAGAATTTTATATTTTCCTCTCTAATCAGAACCTTTATAAAGAATTGGAATGTTTGATGAAAATTAAAATGTTCCCAAGTCAGATTTAGGAAAGTCTATATAGATTTTTATAAAAAAATAAAAATGTTTCTTTAAATGACTCAAAGTTGTTGAGCCAATTTTGCAACTTTAATTGTTTATTACAAATAAAATCAGACGTGCTGAATATGCAAAACTTGCTCTTCATCAAAAATGGGTCTAATTTCTTTTATATCCCAATCTTTCACCAATGTAGTGAACTGCTATTATAGCATGCTTTTTTTTCTATATCAGCTCATAATGCCAACGTTGAAAAAATCTTTTCTTTAATCATTAATAAAATGAGAGGAATAGATTATCTATATTTATTCTTCCATGATTTCTATAAATTTTTAGAGAAAAGGTCAAATATATTACGGAAAATATGGAATAAAAAAAATATGATTTGTAAGTTATGATATTTGTAACAAATTTTTTACCCAGATACAATGGTTTTTGTTCTCACTTCTTATAAAATCTGCACTCATCGAGAATCATTTATAACCTTTTAAAACCTTCCTAAATTAAAAAAGACCTGCCATCATAGATTAAAATCAATTATGGGGCCAAACTGATTATCTCATAAAACACTGTGGTAGTTAATACCCCATTGCAATGGGCTATAGCAAAAATAATTGCCAAGGGTCAAAATCCAGAGTCTTAACTTATTAAGTATACGTATCAATTAGGATTTGGAGTTAAGGGAGAAGGGAAAATAGCTTCTCATGCTATTTGTTTATATCGCCGAATTGACGTGGAACCATAAAAATTACTTTTTTAATATGTTCAGAAATTTAAAGAAAAACAAAAATATATAATTGTATTATCACCAGAGGTCTGCAAATGACAACAATTTTAGGCCCAATAAGAATTTAATTAATGCCCATCTCAAGTTTTACTTAGCCTAATTTCAATTTTTTTACTAAAGTTGTCTGACCTTATATTATATATATATTTGCTCTGATATTTCATAGAAGTGATAATTCCTAAAGTATAGTGATTTTAATTTAACCACTCTCCAATATTATAAATAGTGTTTATTTTGGTGTACAGCAGCATATATTTTGGTATAGGCCTTGATTTAAAAAAAAGCAAAATGCATGATATAATAATGCATAAAAATTATTTGTTAAAAATTATACTTTTGAAAAATGAAGGATAAATGGGCTAATATTACTAATATCTCAACATCATCTGATATTGATATGGCATCTCTGAATTTTAATTAATTAGGTTTTAAAAGGTAAAAAGATTTTTTTTAAATAAATTTAAAATATAAGAACTATTACCTTGGTATTTGTGATCTTATCAAAAATAAAATAATCGAAATTTAACTTTGAAGCCAACTCTCCTTGATTCAGTCCAGATGTCATGGGCTCTAATGAAAGTTTACACATCAAAAATAAAATAATTGAAGATTTTAATAAATATTGTTTCCTTTGGTGTTGAGCAAATATTTACTACTAATATCTAAACATCATCTAATATTGATATGGCATCTAAATTTTGATTAATTAGGTTTTAAAAGGTAAAAAGAATTTTTTTTATATAAATTTGAAATATAAGAACTTTTACCTTGGTATATGTGATTTTATCAAAAATAAAATAATTGAAATTTAACTTTGAAGCCAACTCTCCTTGATTCAGCCCAGATGTCATAGACTCTAGTGAAAGTTTACACATTAAAAATAAAATAAATGAAGAATAGTGTTTACTATGGTGTTGAGCAAATATTTCAAAAATATTATCTAGATAAAATTTGTTGAAAAAAGAATATTTTACATGCAATGGCAAATTTGATATGGATATTGTGTTTCGCCATATTATATATCACATGGGAATTACTAATGGCTTAAAATTTCTATGATAATTATCATTGGACAAATGTTTTTTAAAAGAACTCTATTGGTTAAACTTGATTGACGTTTTTTGAGGATTATTATAATAGATATTATATTTTTTTTAATTCATAAATATATTATAACCATGTCAAATTGACGTATATAATAATTCATAATGTATAAATAGACCTGTGCGTGTACGAAACTATCGGTGGCCGGAACAATTTGTAGCCTGTCCCCGGCGCGCCAATTTTTAGCCTCCGTCATCAAAAGCGGCGTAAATCGGCGCAATTATAAATTTTTATAACAAATTTTTTTAATTGCTTAATAATTTTTTTAAAAAAAAATAAATATACACTATTCTACAGATATCTCGGCATATGTTTTGATCTTTATTTAAGAGAAAACTCACAATAAATCCAAAATCGATTTCGTAATTTTATAATTATCATATATAAAAATGATTTTATTTAAATTTTTGGATCTCCTTGAATTCAACGTCAATCCAGCGGTAGACAAAATTTTTTCACTGGGTATGCTAGTAGCCGGAATACAAAGAATTTTTTTGGCGAGCTGGAAAGATTGGTTCACTCTTCTTTTCTCTCCAAAAATTTAGAACATCCATATCTTGTGAATGTCGTCTTCAAAGAAGAATATGGTATTCTTGTTCTAAGTCACCTAACGTGGAATCATAATTTATATTTGTTGAATGTTTATTTGCCAATTTTGTCAACTTGAATTTAATAATTCCTCTCGATCCTCAATAGTTATATTTACTATCTGAATATCATCATTCTATATAAGTTTAAGATGTTTTATTATAAATTCTGAAGCTCAGCAATCTTGTTCTACTATATACTATGACACAATTGTCAATTTTTGAAATCTTAGATCTAAAGGAGGAGAAGCCAATACCTAGATAATTTTTGAAATAAAAAGTGAATTAAATAAATGAACGTACTTATATATTATTACTTGAAAATCACAAACCGGAAATCGTAGCGCAAGTTTTTTTTAGCATATTTTCCTTAAGTGAAATGATTTCAGAACTATCACTGTCATTTACTATTAAATGTGTTTCAATTTCACCTCTAAAAAGTAACGCCAAGTTTAACATAGGCCCTTGTACTGATAGAAATTCGACAGTTTCTTTAATTTTTAAAAAAAATGCTAAAAGTTCTTCTACCAGATCAGATTAATAGTTTGATAATTTGAGAGTTTCCCAATTCTTTTCAAAACATTATTAATTATATTCTTATTTAATCCACATATGGTTTCTAGCATAATTAATATACTATGCCAACGTGTTGGGACGTTCAATTTTAAGGTTTTGCGTGGAAATATTGTTATCATTATCAATGGAATTGCCAATTTAAAATCAGGTATCTGGATATGGATCAGTGCTATCATGATCTAACATGTCTGATGTTAAATCTATTATACTTAGGCATTTTCTTTGATCTGCCTCGAATTCAAATTCAACTATTGTAGTTTTATATATTAGAACAGTAATAATTCCTATAATTATTTTGATGAGATTTTCAAATAAGGGTACCTTTTTAATACCATCTACTGTAACCAGATTGTGTAAACCATGACCCAAACATAAGCGATGTTCATATTCACCTAATCAAACACCCTTTCTAACATTAGACCCAGCATCAGTGACCATTTGTATTTTTTCTTTTTTAAATTAAATTCCTCTTCTATTTTATCAATCTCAATTGGAATAGTTTCACCTGTGTGTTTTGGGGTTATATAATGAGTTGCTAAAATAAAGTAAATCATTTCAAAATTATCTACACATATAGAATGTAATTGATCAAAATTTTGGCCTTTGAGTTAATTTCTTATTGTACATGTGTTTTCATTGATAGGTAAACATTATTAATAGCAGTCGGGCTTAGTGTTGTCCTGTCTGGCAAATCAGAATTGATAACTTAGTATTTCTAAAATAAGTATTATGAAAAGTATAACATAAAATCATTATCTTTAATTTATATTAGACAACAAATTAGGGAGAATTTATCAAGAAGAAATATATTTGTTAAAAATTTATTCTAGGTTGTAAAGCTACACAGAAACATAGATAATGAATATGAATTATCTAATATTATTTAAATCATTCATGTCTATGTGTAATCTTATTGTTAGCATGGCTATCAAATTCAACTATTGTAAACCTTCCTCAGCAGCAAATGCTATTTCAATAAAACAAAAAAGACATAAAGGTAGATCTATTATAGATAATATATCAATTTTTTTTCATAAATTTGAAACCATCAAAAAATCTTTCATTCTTATATTATCAATTGATTGAAAAGATAATGTACAACATAATAACACATAGTTTCTTATTAGGCATTTTTAGAGGTTTTAGAATTTGTCTGAATTTTGATTAATTAGGTTTTAAAAGGTAAAAAGAAATTTTTTTAAATAAATTTAAAATATAAGAACTTTTACCTTGGTATTTGTGATCTTATCAAAAATAAAATAATCGAAATTTAACTTTGAAGCCAACTCTCCTTGATTCAGTCCAGATGTCATAGGCTCTAATGAAAGTTTACACATCAAAAATAAAATAATTGAAGATTTTAATAAATATTGTTTCCTTTGATGTTGAGCAAATATTTATTACTAATATCTAAACATCATCTGATATTGATATGGCATCTGAATTTTGATTAATTAGGTTTTAAAAGGTAATAAGAATTTTTTTTATATAAATTTGAAATATAAGAACTTTTACCTTGGTATATGTGATTTTATCAAAAATAAAATAATTGAAATTTAACTTTGAAGCCAACTCTCCTTGATTCAGCCCAGATGTCATAGACTCTAATGAAAGTTTACACATTAAAAATAAAATAAATGAAGAATATAGTGTTTACTATGGTGTTGAGCAAATATTTCAAAAATGAATATCTAGATAAAATTTGTTGAAAAAAGAATATTTTACTTGCAATGGCAATTGATATGGATATTGTGTTTCGCCATATTATATATCACATGGGAATTACTAATGGCTTAAAATTTCTATGATGATTATCATTGGACAAATATCTTTTAAAAGAACTCTATTGGTTAAACTTGATTGACATTTTTTAAGGATTATATATATAGATAATAATTTAAATCAATGAAGCCTCAACTGTTAATGCTAAATTAATATTTAGTGGGTGATATTAATATTCTATTTTTAACACAGAATTTGATTGCAAGCTGACATAGTGAAAATATAATTTATAAGTATTAATCTAATCTAATAATTAAAATAATATTCATTAGAATAATTTAGATAGACTTATTCATTTTTAAATTATAAAATTAAATCTTTATATTACTCAATTGAATTATAAAAGAAATCATTCAGTGGGAAATCAAGAAAATTTATTTTTAGTTCAAAGGGATATTAAGGAGCATTAAAAAAATTTTTTTGCTTCAGGGGGCTATTCAAATTTTAGGAGGCTCAAGCCCCTGCGTGCCCCCCCCCCTAGCGAAGACACTGCATATGATAAACTAGTTGGTATATTTACATTATTTATAACATAATTTTACAAACTGGTTTAAGTATTGTTTCTTAATTTTTATGAATATTACTGATAAATTCAACAATTTAGAAGCAAAGTTACAGTACTCAATATAAAAATCTCTTTCAATTGATAGACTATTTTTTAAATATTGCTCAGTTTTAATTGAAGTATTGTTTCTAAATTTTTATATATGATAAATCCAATTTATAAGCAAGGATACAGTACTTAATATAAAAATTGATAGAAATTTTTTTTAAATATTGCTTAGTTTTAATTGAAATATTGTTTCTAAATTTTTATGAATATTACTGATAAATTCCACAATTTATAAGCAAGGATACAGTACTCAATATAAAAATCTCTTTCAATTGATAGAAAATTTTTTTTAAATTTAACTTTTAACAAATTTCTTTTAACATGCTTAAAACTTTAATAAACAACATAGCATAATTATATCATTTAGATATTGGTAGCAAGGAATTAGCAAGATGTCATTGTGTTGATTGATCATATATAAATTTAAAGAATTAATCTTAAATTTGAATAGTTAATCTTATATTATAAATTGATGTGTTTGATATAATTTAACTATTCACAAAAACGTGATATTATATATTTTTCAATTAACTTTTTTTATATATATATACTATGTTTTTAGATATAGTAGAGGAGAATATATATAATAAAATATTTAACAAATTGTTTTAATCTTATTTTCACATTGACTTTGTAAAATCATGCGACCTATGTCAAAGATACAATTCCCGATTTGACAAAACAAGTTTCGAAATGCAGTCTATTCCTATTCCATCTAAGGTATAAGAATATATATAATAAAATATTTAACAAACTTTGTTTTAATCTTATTTTCATGGTGCCCCGGTTACGGTGGTACGTTTTTCGTTTTTCTTTCTTTTTTAAAAAATAAAATAAAGTTAAATAATAAAAGTTTAAAAAAAAATTAAAAAATATCCTTACCTTGATTTCTTTTGTAAAAATAAAAAGCAAATTCGTCGTTAGATATTGGAGATGATAAAAGGACATATAAAATTTTTTTGACTTTTCTTTTCGATAGTCAAAATTTTATCCAAATTTACAAAATTATAAAAGGTAAGAAAAAAAAAATTAGAAAAAAATTTATTTAGAATAAATATAACTTGTTAACTTCTTGTTTCTTTTATGGCGCCCCGTTACGTCTTTGTAAAAAAAAAAAAAGAAGAAAATATATAAAATTTGCCTAAAATTAAAATAAAAAAGTAAAAATTAAATTAAATTCGAAATTTTGATGACTACCTTATTTATTGATTTGACTACCTATTGTGACGATTGTTTAATCCATTGAGATGACTCTATTTATATGACTACCTATTGTGACATTGAGATGACTCTATTTATATGACTACCTATTGTGACGATTGTTTAATCCATTGAGATGACTCGATTTATATGACTACCTATTGTGACGATTGTTTAACCCATTGAGATGACTCTATTTATATGACTACCTATTGTGACGATTGTTTAATCCATTGAGATGACTCTATTTATATGACTACCTATTGTGATGACTATCTAACCTATGGAGACTGCTTAACCTATGGAGATGACTACCTATTATGACTACCTTATCTATTGTGACTACCTAATCTACTGAGATGACTATCTAACCTATGGAGATGACTACCTATTATGACTACCTTATCTATTGTGACTACCTAATCTACTGAGATGACTATCTAACCTATGGAGACTGCGTAACCTATGGAGATGACTATCTATTATGACTAGCTTATTTATTGTGACTGCCTAATCTATTGATATGACCAATGCCTAATCTATGGAGATGTTAGCACGTTCTTTCATGCAAAAAGCTTCTTTCTTCATGGTGTCCAGGCTCTGGATGTTGGACTGGAATATGATAACCAGCACCTAACCTAATGTGACAACCTAGGAAGAACTGATATGGAAGTTGAACGATAGGTTATGAATTCTATTTTGTGAGACCAATGATGATTACTTATTACTCTAATCCACGTAAGAAGAAAAGTTATTTAAAATTAAAATTTTATGCCAGGATAAAGGCATGTTATAAATTTTTAAAATCACTAAAATGTAAAATCATAATGGATATATTTGAACACACAAAAAGCCTTTAAAAAATTATTTACTTAAATTCTTAGTGAAATATTATTTTTTGATTTCTTGAATGATGACCAATTGTTGTAAATTAACAACTAATCCTAAAAATGAATTCTTAGATATAATTAAATATAAACCATTATAAATCCTAAACAAGAAGATAAAACTTTAATTTTAAATATATTAAAGTGTAATTAAAACATATGAATTAAAAGGGATTGATTTAAATAACCCTTATAAGTAATACTTAATATGATAAAAATGTTTTTGAAAAAAAGCTTTTGAAGACAAAAGGTTATGTAAAAATTAAACATCATTATTTTAGAAAAATATTGTGTGAAATTTAAATTTTTTTTAAGAGAGGGAAATGTGCATAATATTTGCATATTTTAACCTCGGAGATTGAAAATAAATAAAAATAAATTAAATATTAAAACGCTACTAATTAAATATTGAAATGCTAAAAAATGTAAAACGCAAAAAATGTAAAACGCAAAAAATATAAAACGCATAAAACGCTAAAAGTATAAAACGCTATGATTAACCTAACACCTAAAAAAATAATATAATAATCGTTATGATTTATCATTCCTTATTCTGGATTAAAATTTTATTATCATTCCTTATTACATATTTTTCCGAAATTCAAAATTTTATTCGTGCATATTATTCATATATTTGATTTGATCAACTATTCCAAATTACATATTCCGATTTATTCCAAATTCCAATATTCAACTGGATTAATGATAATAACAATTTTGAGAAATGTGAACAACATACGATAAGGATATCAAGCCTACAAAAAACGTACAAACTCACGTAACTCTAATAAACGATTTTATCAAACCTACGTAATAGAATCAAGCCTACGAGAACATTTGAGACTTATGCGCTAGCCAAGATAAAACCGAGTACAATCGAAACGGAAAAAAACTTCTGGGACAACAAGCTCTTGATGACTGCTGAGAAGAAGCTTCGTTCTTTGTAGAAGAGGGGGAATGTTGATTGATCATATATAAATTTAAAGAATTAATCTTAAATTTGAATAGTTAATCTTATATTATAAATTGATGTGTTTGATATAATTTAACTATTCACAAAAACGTGATATTATATATTTTTCAATTAACTTTTTTTATATATATATACTATGTTTTTAGATATAGTAGAGGAGAATATATATAATAAAATATTTAACAAATTGTTTTAATCTTATTTTCACATTGACTTTGTAAAATCATGCGACCTATGTCAAAGATACAATTCCCGATTTGACAAAACAAGTTTCGAAATGCAGTCTATTCCTATTCCATCTAAGGTATAAACACAAATAAGGGTATATCTGTGTTCATTGCCAGTGAGCATTGATGGATATAAATATATTGCTGTTGCTGTTGATTATTTTTAAATATCGAAGCACAGCCTTTAAAGAATAAGACAGCCCATTCAGTGACCCTCTTTTTATATTCACTGTTATGCAGGCATGGCAGAGTCAAGGTTGATAAATTTTTTATAATATAATGATATTTATCATATTTATTGGTCCAAATTAATGATCAGGGTCGCGAGTTTGTAAACCAAGTTAGCAATGAATATCACAAACTCGTGGGAACCCAGCAGAGAGTGACAAGTGCCTACCATCCTCAGGCTAATGGCATGGTAGAGAGGGCCAATCGTACTCTTCAAAATTCACTTTTGAAGTGTACAAAAGGCCATCAGAAAAATTGACCTGGAGTTCTCCCTGGTATTGTATTTGCTTACATACATCAAAGCTTTAATCCTCATATTACCATATGAGATAATGTATGGCAAGATACCTTACCTCCCTGTGAGGTATGATATATATCACTATTTGTATAAAAATATATACATAATAAGTATTTATTTTTAATATTTAAGGATGAAGAGAACCAGATACAGATCTTGATGATCTATCTGACACAGAGTTTGAAAGCAATTACCAAAAAACGGCATACAATATGAAAGACATGTCCAAGACTGCGACAAAAAATATTGTAAAGGCTCAGCTTGAATAGCAACGATATTATAAAATTCGTAATGTTGCTAAAAATGCACTTTATCACATAAATGATAAAGTACTTGTATGGAATAATCGTCGGGCTGACAGGAAAGAAGGGGAAATATTGCATCCTTGGGTAGGCCCATATACAATTGATAAAATTGTTTATAGTAAAATCATTATTTTTAACAAAATATTTATACATATTTATCCAATGTAGAATTATCTTTTTCAGCAGGAAAAATTTTACATATCAAGGCTAATCTAAGTAATTTAAAACACTATATAGAATGGAACATAGGTATTATTTTTTAAATATACGAATATAACTTTTTTAATGGTAAAGATACAGTCAAAAAAACGAAAAAATTGACATTGTGAAACTATAGAAGGTGTTCAAGATCTTTGTAATATATACAGTTAATTTATAAAATAATAAACAATTAATTAAGTTTATAGGCTTCTTAAAACTATAATTGGAGAAAGTAATCAAATGCATTTGGAAAAAAGGAAAATATATTTTTAATTATTATTTCCATTAGAAGAAGCACTATTTGAAGAAATGTCTTGTGGAATAAAAGTTTCAGGAGAAAGTTTTATTTTTTAAAAATTGGAAAATTTTATTTTTGATAAAGCTAAAATTCTAGGGTTGGAAATTAGAAAGGAGGATACTAAAATAAACCGTGTCAAAAAGAAAGGGTATAATATATAAAATTATTTAATATATTTTTTTTATATACAGATACATTTGGTGAAAATCCAATAATAGCTTTTAAAAGTATAGTAAGAGAGGAAGGATATATAGGTGTACAAGATCAGGGTAAAGGTGATATTTTTTTAAAATATGTCATTATTTAATTATCAAATTTAGATGACGAAATTATTGTGGATGCAATAACACCAAAGAAAATTGGTGAACTTTTCCTACCCACAACAAGGAACTGGAAGGTATATCACTCTAAATGGTTCAATATCAAAGTAATTGGCCATTATCCCAAGATAAAATGTGGTATATTAAAAAAGATTTTCACAACCGATCATATTGTGGGTGATGGGAACTATTTTAAGGTTAGTATCTTTGTTGCGTTATATACTTTTTGTTTTTGAATTCTTTTTGTTTTTGAATTTTTTATAATCTAATTTTTATTATTTATATAATCTAATTTTTGTTATTTGTTATAATCTAATTTTATTTTATAAACGGCGTAACCTTACTTTTTTAATATTATTTTACTTTTTTTATATTTCGTTTATATTCTAATTTGGACTTATAAAAAATGTATATAATAGAAGTGTGAAATGGAAAAAATAGTATTAATAGTATTAATAAAGTTAAATATAAATAAACACCTTTTTACCTTTGTGCACATATTCATGTTACTCTACAATCTTTAAATAATATTGAATTATTTTCCATGTTTATAGGTGTATGGTGTATAAGTCAAGAGATATTAAATAGGTAGGATAATTATAATTATCTGAGGGAGGAATGCGTTCTCTTTATGAGAAGAGAAGATTTCAAATTGGAAATGGGAAAATTTATAGGATATCCTTTAGAGGAATACCTAGTTAACAGAAATGTTATGGGAAACGGTGTCTGTGCAACAGAGGTGGAAATATTATCTATGGCCACATTGTTGCAGACAAATATATTAATCTATACCCAATATAAGTGGGCTTATAATTCGCCCATGAAATTTTTTAATAATATTAAAATATTTAAAGAAAATATATATTTATGCAATGAAAATAACAATCATTTTGTTATAATTATAACAATGTGATTAATATCTATTCTAATATTTATATTCCATTATATTTATTGCAATTTAGCTGAAAAGTAACCGGTAAGCATCTTTTTGTTAAATGTTATTGCACTTTATATATTTTTATTAATAGTTATTTTTATAAAAAGTACAATAGTTTGACATCCTTTTTATGAGTTGAATCCTATTCAATTGCGAATTTATATTATATAGCATTTTATATATTTTTATAAAAAGTACGATATTGAATCATTTGATGAATGATATGTAATTTATGTTTAAATATGAATAAATTTAACCCACCGTGTATATATAGATTTTGATCAAACTTTTTTTAAATTAAGCTATGACGTTTTCGACCTTAAATTATTTATAAGTATAAAAAATTTAAAAAGGTAGAGAATGAAACTTTGATGTTAATATAACTAAATATCAGAAATTAAAATATTATCTGTCTCATAAATTTCAATATTAAAAAATTTTAATTATCTGTCACTCATAAGCGTCAATATGATAAACATAAACTCTAAGCATCACCTGTCAGTTATAAGTGTTAATATTGCTATATATAAACTTTTAACATTGCACGCAAGTCATAAATGTCAGTAATATATAATAATTTAAACTTTTAACATTACATGTCAGTCATAAATGTCAGTATTACTAAATAATAGAAACTTTTTGACATTACATGTCAGTCATTAATGTCAATATTACTAATAAATATAAATTTTTAACATTACATGTCAATCATAAATGTCCGTATTACTAAATAATACAAACATTTAACATTATACGTCAGTCATAAATGTCAGTATTACTAAAGGGAGTTAATTTAAATTTAACTAAAATATCACGTTACACCGGTATTAAAATATGCTCGGAGAGAATATATCCAGATTAAAAATCCAGTATATTTAAAAGGTTTGAGGGGAATCTCGCTCAACGTGTATACTTGTTCACTTGTACTATTCTTGACCACTTTATCTTACTCCTCTAAATCGATTAATTTTTACTAACTTCATACTTAATTTTAAATATAAATTCTTTTTATTTCAATCATTAAAAAATAACAATTAAATGTCAAACTAATTTTATTCACAAATTTTTTTTATTAATAAATATCAACAACTGAAATATCATAAAAAAATATAATTCTATTATTTTTATTATAATATTATTTAATTTCCATGACGGATTATCTATAATATATATTAAAAATGACGTAACTGGGACACTCTTATTACATTTAACCTAATTATATTAATTTAATTACCTCTTTTAGGAAGGGCCATAACTCTGAGGAAGCAATAATTACCATATATATTCTGCTAGAAAGAACCCTGGTGCGAAAGAACCAACTTTTCTGCTGCTATAATTTAACAAGAGCCTCCTCTATAATACATTCAAAGTATGGAAGTCGCTTGATATGTTAGGTGATACTGCACACTTACTAGGCTTCTGATGAATATATATCTGAATAATACTATGCAAATAATATAAGCTAGGTTAAAATATATAAGAAATCCTGGTAAAGATTGGTCTTAAACAAGGTTGTAATCTCACACCCATGCTGCTCAACTTCATCATTTATATCATTATACTAAGGGGAAAGAACATGAGCGTGGGTGTCATAGAAGTAGACAATCTAAATATTCTTGCCTTTTCTGACGACCCATGTATTGCGGCAGATACCATGAATAACCTTCAATACTTTGTGAATAAAATAGATGGAGATAGTAAATTTTATAAGTTGACTCATGGGCAGCGTTTTCTTCGCTTTTTCCTTTTCTTAATTGTTTTCTTTTATATTTTATACAAAACCACAAGATATAACATGGTTGGGTTAGTTCCTCCTTTTTATTATATTTCTGGATATAAGGTTTGCAGGTATTCTTTATAAATAAAACCGGGATAATTATGTAGAGGTTATACTAATTCTTGTATGCTTAACATCTGCGGGTCCTAAACCAACATGCTTAGATTAGATGACTAAGAAAGCATTATTTAATATATTTAAACTTTTTTGGTTGGGAATGTTTGCGTAAAACGGTACTCGTGATGGGGGTAGGGGGGGGGATAGGTGGCAAGGCACTGTATAATTAATATATAAAACTTAAGAAAATAATTTATTACGATTATTTATAATACAATTATTGGATACATATGCAAATCATTTAGTAAATTTTTAAGTTCACGTTACACCTTAAATAAATAATGATAACGGCAATTTTATAAGTACATATTTATTTCGATTATCTATTATAATATAAAGATTGTATATGTAAATCCAAATGAGTATAATAGAAAGTTACATATCAAGATTATCCATAATTATGATGATTATATATTTAGAAATAAAAGTTGAGTATTATAATAGAAATTTCGAAAAATCCTAGCTTACTTATTGAGGCGATACTGTATGTGTAACATAATTATACTTATATAAATCAATATAAATAATAACAAAGAATAATATCATTTCAAGAATCAAATTATAATTATTTGCTAAAGTATAATCAAGCTTGTTCTGAGATTATAATGGAAATAAGTTTAGAATTTGATCATAAATATTTTATTTTTCTAGTATAAATATATGGTTTTTTAAAAAAATATTATATTAAATTTCCCCAAAAACTTGAATCTATTCTAGTCTCGAGACTTTAAAAGTAGAACGTTAAACTTTTAAGTTTATGGACTCATAAAGGTTTTTTAAAATCGTTTGACAAGAATAGCATCTAAAAATCTATTATTTAAAGTGTATTATAATACGATGATTTTTGTCATTCATGATTAATTCATTTTATAGATATCACAGCACAGCATTGCTAAGGTTAATATGCGTGTTATATTTAAAATAATAATAATTCATAATTTTTAATTGTAATGTATTAACTTTAAATAAATTGTATTTTGATATTTTGGTTTAAGGATACAATTTATGGTAATTGATTAATTATCGCAAATGTACTTTCGATGAATATATCGAAAAAAGAGTTTCGAAACCCCCATTACGTTATTATGACGTATTCAATTTATAGTGGTAATGTATTTAAATAAATTGATTTTTTATATTTGCTTTAAGCTACACTTTATTATAATAGATAAAAATAGAAAAACATATATATATATTTTATTATATGAAATAAATCACTTTATATTATTATTCTCAATACATTTCATTTGGCGATGATTTATTTTCAAGTCATTTTTGACGACGATGAATTATTTTAGATAAAAGGATTAAAATTATACCATGCCTCTGAAGAAGATTGAATAACCTACTCAATTTCATATTCCTGAATTCATAAAAGAAAAAGTTAATATTCTGGATTACCTATATAATATAGAACTAATTTTCAAAGTAAAAAATATTATTGATCAAAATAAAAAAAAAAGATATATTGTTATATAGGCACTGATAATTAAATTAAAATTAAGAATTTTTACTTTCCTAATAACTTAGATAACATAAATTATCTAATTTTACTTGAGAATTTAGAAAATATATTTAAAAATTTTCCGAGTATTTTTCTGAAACAATTTTTATACCTTAAAAAGAGGCAGTGAAACTATTTTCGATTTTTCAATCAAATTATAAAGCATTTGCTCTTGATGTAATTTTAAATCGCCGGTTGATGAACTCTTAAGAGATATTTTCATCTTAGGAGTAGGGTTACCATTTGGACAAAGAACTTCGGTCAAAATATGCCGAAGGAAATATTACTTTTGAAGATACTGTGCGCCTAGCTATAGCGCTGTCTTCATTGGAGAAGGAAACCCTGGCAGTAGTTAATAAGATAATTAAACATAAGCTTATGCAAGGAAAGTATCTCTTTATATTTTTCTCAATTTTTTTTAATTTCAATAAACACCACATTGGCGACGTGATTAATTTAAAAGAGACATATTAAATTAAAAAGTTAAAATTATACTATGCTATGCCTAACGAAGACTCGAAGAAGATACTTCTGAAGAAAAACGAAGAAACATCAACATCTAGTCAATTTCATATTCCATAATTCGTCAAAGGAAAAGTGAATATTCAGGACTATGCATGTAATTTAGAATTCATCTTTAAAGTAAAAAATATTGTCGATTACAATTAAAAAAAAGTTTCTAGCATACATAGGTACGGATAATTTAATTAATTTAAAAAATTTCTATTACACAATTAATGAAA